TGTTTCCGTGAAGTTTAGGAGAGAGCGAGGGCCCCGTGTACACACCGGCAATTGGATCATAGAGAGAAGTCCAGATCTCTGTGTTCTTAGCTGTATCCACTCTCTTTCCAAGGCCTTAATTTAAACAATAGTTAGAATCTGTATTTTCATTCTCTTGCTAGCTTGGTTAATGTAAGCCTCTTGTTCTATATTGTAGATGATGTTTCTATGTATTGATTTAACAGAATCTATCAAAATGCAAATTCACATACTCTGACCCAGAAATACTAATTCTACAATTTGACCGTCTGGTGGTCTTCATCTACAAAATGGCTAAGCACGGGATATCCTTGACACCGTTACTTAGAATGGCCAAATAGAAACACCTAATTTCCATTAACAGCAGGGAACTAGCTTGACAAATTTGACAGCTGAAAAACATTAGGTAGACAAAAAAATATCTTGTGTTTTACTTATACAGGTAAAAATTTATCTTGTGGCCACACAAACAGCTGATCATATCTATTGATAAACAGTTGGGGCAGTGTAGAAGCCAGACTTTACCTTGTACCTCTGTGCCCTTGTCTATCCCTTGAGCTATGAGAATGCTACTTATTGAGAATATAAATAAAATATAGACTAAACTACACGTGCTTGCCATAAGAAAGCCAAACAGTGGAGTGTGACTTGCAGAGGCAGGAAGGAGGAGTCCCTCAGCCACCCAGACTGCTAGGTGTAGGGTATGTCCCCTCATGCAAAACTACCGCAGGTGCTCCCGATGGGTCGAGAGAGTGCCAGTGGGGTCGATAAGGTTGTCCCAAGAGACAAGGTGTGCATTCCAACTTGTAGGTACAGTGGTTTTCACAGGATCAACACAAGAGTCATGAGTCCTGCACGGGACTGGAAGAGTCTGGTCTAAAGGATTAGGCCCCTGGGAATAAGTTACATGGTCATAGACTTGAGCTCAGCACAAGAAAACAATATTCTAAAGTCAAACAATAAGAATAAAGTGGACCTTCTTGAGAGGTAGTGTGCTCATTGCTCCTGGGGGCACAGTCACATGTATACCACAAGGAAGTCGGGCATCCTGTGGCTGATGCAACCACCCATGAGTCCTTTGTAGGTGACAGTCCCCTCTCTCTACATAAGGAAGTACTGACTTTCCCAGAACCATCAGGAATTACCTGCTGGTGACCAGCCTTCGGGAACATCCACTTCTCTGTATGTAGTACTCCTGCTCACAGGGCCTGGCTGGCAGTCCCCGGCAACCTTGGGACTTAACTTTGCAGATTCCCCTTTCTCTGCAGATATACCACTAGCTCCTTGTCCTTGCACCCAGCCGCATTTATGTGGCAAGTTTATAGTATCAAAGCAATTCCTCCAGACTCGTGTTTTACTGCCTTTGTCTAGAATCAACACTTGTGCTAAGGGAAATGATTCCACCTGTGGTGATCCTGCCTCAGGAGGAAGCAAGAAAAGGGGAATTCTGAGAAACAGGTATCTTTCCCCGGCCCCAGTGTTTCGCTGCACACAGAGGGAGCAGAGGAAGAAGAAAGGAGACGATCGAGGAGGGAAAGTGTTTGGGGCTAAGCCAAACAAGCTTAAGTGTTTCAAAGAATAAATTGGCGGAGTAATTCGGATCATGGGCAGGTGCTAGGAATGTAATTTAGTAAATGCTCGGGAACCTGCCAAAGAAGAGAAAAATGTGTTGCTTTTGAGATCATTTCCCAGCAGCTCCATAAAAGAAAACTGATTACAGGAATTTAATAAGTAAAACAGAGCCAGAAATAGTGTGATCAAATGAGTTTTTAATTACATTTCAAGCAGAAAAAAATTTCAATTTGTGCTCCTGGGATTAAAAAAAAAATAAGTTCTAGAGAAATGCTTTTGTAGCAGGAAAGAACATATCCGCTAATTTCCATAGCAATGACAGTAGTCCGTTCATTGATCAGAGGAAAGAGGAGCCCGTGCCAAGACACGCTAAACAAGATCGCTGCTACACACTTTTGTCAGAAATAAATAAATAAACAGACAGACAGATAAACACTGAGCATTGAGCAGGAATTGGGTATCTGCATTTTTCTAGTGGAAATAAAGGGAATTTTTAATTTTAAAATTTAATCACTGGGTTATTATGTTGCTTTGGTTTATTTGTATATGAAATAAATGGTACATCAGATTTTAAATGAGATGTTTCTAGTGAGTGTGACAAAGGTCACTGGAAAGAAGACATACACTCATACATGCACTCACTGACACACACACTCACTGACACACTCACACTCACTGACACACACACGGTGCGATGGGGATGGATGAGAATAACTATTACAGGGCATCGATGTGCAGAGGAGTCACCTCAACCAGCAAGAGTCTCTCTGTCCATTCAGGTCTGTTAGGGGATCTGTCAGGTTTACTGGCAGGGTGGTTCAGGTGTGTTTAGGGAAGGACACTCCACCGTCTATGGGACATGCTGTTCTTCAGATGAGGACTTTGCTGCAGGCCACTCCTTAACCACGGGGCACACCTAGACGGTACTTTCTGGAAGATGTGCAGGAACTACTGTGGTTTTATTCTCAGTTCAACTTTTGTCCCCTTGTGATGAATGGGGCCAACCTGCAACTTTCATGGGACCAAGGTTTTAATCCCTGGCCTCAGAAGTGGGCTCACCTAAAAGATCATCTTTCTAAAGACAAGTACATCTGCAGCCCCAGGCTCATTCCTTTAGGGTTGCATAGGGGAAAGTTGCTATGGCAAGCCAGTTAGCAACACTCCCCCATGGTCTCTAGTTCAGTTCCTGCCTTGGCTTCCCTTAATAATGAACTGTAACCTATAAACTCGCTCAACGTCTGAGGCCAGCCTAGTCTATACCATGAGTTTTAGACTGGCCAAGGCATGGTAAGACACTGTCTTTAAAAAAAACAACAACAGCAAAAAGATGGACTGTCCCCGTATTTCCATTTTTCTACTGCTGAATTTTGAACACAGGGTTTTCCACAGATGAGACAAAGATTCTACCACTGAATGACACCCTTTATTTCCTTTTCTCAAAAATAGGATTGTCTAGAATATAAAAGGACTCCAAGACCCTTTACTATGTATGTCCTATATGAATGATTTTACTCATATTTATTATTTAGTTATTCACATGTAGATACTGTAAAAGATGTTTTTGCTAATTGTATTTTACTGGTTGAATATGTTGAAGTCTTTCATAATAAGCAGTAAGACTTATTCCAATGCAGAGGAAGAGAAAGACAAAATATTAGGATGAAGTTTACTGCTCAGAGGGGGAGTACTTGTCCTGCACGAGGCCTTCAGTTTGATCCCTAACACCACAGGAAAATAAATAAATAAAAAGCCTTTAACATAGAGAAAAAGAACTCTAAACTTTTAATTTTACAATTTAAGTTTAAAAAAAAGTTCCAATGGAACAGAGAATCATGAGGTTTTCCCAGATGGGCAGGGTGTTCTCTATGCCCCTCTGGCCTGTAAGATGTTTATCTACTGATATTTAGCCTGAGCCTTCTGAATCCATTCTTACCCTAGTTCATAGGTAATGTCTTTGGCCCATCCCATAGTACTGCATTTCTGGGTGGACGGATTCAAAAGCTACAGAAGGCTCATGTGCATCCAATTCAGATGAGACAGCGTGCTGTAGGGTTCCCATGCCACTGCCAGGGGCCAACCAGGGCTTCTGAGGTCAGAAGTCATTCACACCACTTGAAAGTAGGGACCTCTTCTCTTAAAGAGGGTAAATTAAATGCAGAAGGAAGTATTTAGAAGAACTGGCTCTTGGGCAGTTAAGGACCCTGAAGCGTCAATTTCACGAGCCTGGTGATCCGTCTGCCCCAGCTGATCACTGCTTACGTTTCCACTCTCACCTTCCCCACGCCTCTCCATTACTCTCTTCCCCGCCCCTTTCCCTTTGTCACTAGAGTGAAAACAGGTGTTTGCGTTAAAAGGCATAGAAGGTTTCAAAGGGCGTAGTTAGGAACACTGAGAAAGATAGGTAAGAGGGCTTGCAGCCAAGCTGACCAGCTATGAGGAAGGCAGGACTCTGGGAGACACATGAAGTCATGTCAGCAGGCTCCCATGAAGACATCCTCCCCCCCCCCCCCCCACACACACCCATAACAACACTCAGGGCCTTGCTGCCCGTTGACATCATTCGGATCTATGTCACTCCATGTTAATCTGTATGTTCAGCATGGCCACCGCACTTTTGCTTTTGGAAGATGAGCCCCTCTTGTTACCTGGTCTTTCTTACGTGGGAAAGTTCAGCAGGCACTGTGGCAGATGCTATTGTGATGTGGGATTCCCCTCTCTATGCTGTGAATCATTGGTTAACGAATAAAGCTGCTTTGGGCCTATTACAGTGCAGAGTAGGGCAAGGTGGGAATTCCAAGCAGATGGAGGAGGAGAGAGTAGGCGGAGTCAGAGAGAAGCCATGGAGCAGCCATGACGGATGCCAGACGGAACCTTACTGGTAGGCCCCAACCATATGGCGATACACAGATTAATAGAAATGGGTTAATTTAAGATGTAAGAACTAGCTAGCAATATGCATAAGCTAATAGACCAAACAGTATTGCAATTAATACAGTTTCTGTATGATTATTTCAGGTCTGGGCGGCTGGGAAATGAATGAGCAGCCTCTGCCAACACTATTGCAAAGTTATTTTTGAAAAATTTGAGTTCACAGTCTACTGATAGGTAAAACTCTCTCTGGTAGGCAAAGATACAGTTATTGATAGATAATAGTGGCATGCATTTTTGTCTTCTAGGTTTTTTGATGCACTTGTAAACACAGACAGTCTACAAGGTTGCCTGTCCCTTGAATAACACACAACCATCTTGTTTGTCATTCTCGGCACAGGTCTCAGAAGTAATTTGTGTTTACCTGGTAGCCATTTCCTTTTCTATACCCGGTTTCCACCCCCCTTATAAACACAAGGAGGAGGAGGATACAAACCCGTGACCAGGTTCCTCACTCTCCACCTTTTTCTCGTTTGCTTTAGGCCTTGGTGAAGGTCAACGCCAAACTGAAGCCAATGCTGGATTCAGTGGCTGCCAACCGAAGGAAGTGGGAAGAGTTACATCAGAAAAGACTGCAGGTCTCCGCCGCCTCCCCAGTCCCTGCGAGTCTCACCGTGGCGACGGGCGAGGATAGGATGTAAAGCACCCAGAGCCTCTGTGCGACCCTGCGGCCTGGAGGGTCCTCTGCAGCCTGAAGGATCCGCTGCAGCAGCCGCATCTTTCCGCTCAGGCAGTCCAAAAGTGCAGACTGTATAGACCGGACCCGGAAGCGCACCCGGAAGTGTGCTTGGTGGCAGAGGACTGGAAGGATGAAAGACAGAGGCCGGCAGAGAGCTTGACCCTCCACTTCCCATGATGAACCCACACTGCTGGATTTGGATCCATGAGCCTGAGGGCTATCAGCCCCACTCGTTCAGAGTTGAGGGGACACCGTGGTAAAAGTGTCGCTAACACTGCTTCACGTATGGCATTTTCCTGTCATGAGCATGTCCCTTCTTGGCAGGTCTTTGTTCCAGACAGTCCCAAGAATCCAGATTTGCATCTTAGGTGTTTTATTTCTGATGTGACTGTTTCTTAGTGATGCACCAGACCGTTGGTCTTGTTTGCCTGTTGGATGAGTCTCCCCCTTATGAGTACCAACTAACCCCAATCTTTTCAAAGGGTCCTCAGTAGGAACGCAGTGAGCTTGCTAATTGGAGGGTTACAGAATCTATAACCCTGGCAGTGAGATCACAGTTTTTTTTTTCAGTGTTTGAATTCAGCCTTCATTGTAGACCAGGCCTTTTCCTAAGAAGAATAGATTAATAAATTTATTCAAGCAAAGGGGAAGAGTAATTTACAGTCACGTGTACCACAGGTGATCTGTGAACACTAGAACTACTTCCAAGAGAGAGAGAGAGAGAGAGAGAGAGAGAGAGAGAGAGAGATTTTACAAGCGCAGAGGACCCCTGAGACTGAGGACGGACTAGCCTGAGGTGAAAAAGTTTGGGGATAAAATTTAAGGTACCTCAATTTTATATTTTTCCTTAAGTGAAAAAAAGAATATTCTAGAAAGGCCAGGTAATAACATCTACACAACCTATATCCTCTAGGAAGTCAGGCCTCTAACGGGTGAAAAAAACTGTTTTAAATGGATGTGGTGTCTACTAAGCTGCTTTGATGCCCATGTCACCCAAGACACTTGTGGAGAGGGTCCATCTTCACCGAAAAGCACTGGCCTTGCTGTCCTTAATTTTGCATCCTCAACTGGGTGGCTTTGGACAGGTTTCTCTGCTGCCCAAACTGAAATTACCCTAGTAGCTTACTTGCAGAAGTCTTAACCTTAAAATCGTTTGTGCAACAAACTTTCAAGGACTCCCCAGGACACAAGATAGCAGGTCTTGGGGGTCCAGCGCCTATAGGTCCAGGAGGTCCAGAGCCCACAGGTCCAGGGGGTTCAGAGCTCACAGGGCTTGAGGGTCTAGAGTCCACACAAATCATAGTCTCTTTGTTCACGTAATGGTGCTCCAGAGAGAGACTCTGAGCACTCTGAAAATCCCCGCAGATGTGAAACCTGAGAGCCAGCCCAGCTCTAAACAATCAAACATTTACAAAACATTTTTCCTTACTTTTACTGACCAGTATCAGTTATTATCAAAAAATAGTGGTCAGATGTTTGAAGCTGGGGATGGGGTGTCCTAAAATGAAGGTACCAAACAGGGAGTGGGATGATCTGGAAATCACCATGAGGAAGGCAGCTTTGTTATGGCAAGAAACACAATAAAATAAACGGGGCAAAGTGTGGGGCTAGAAGATAGGGACTAAGGTAGAGAGATGGCTAAGATAATGGCTAAGGAGTGAAAGTCAATCCAAACAAAGAAAAAAGGCAATTACAGTTCCCCCACTCTCCCAAATGAGGGTACAGAATCATGGCATCAATTGAGCAGGAAAGAGAGACAATTACACAGGGAGAATCTTGACAAAGGAGAAAAAGAAGGGCTGGGTGCACTAAGAAACAATGTTGCTAGCTGCCCTTCACATCTGTGTCTGCAGGGAAGGCTGGGGGGCGGGGGACACGAGCGCAGAAAAAAAAATGCTTCTGCAGAGCAGGTAAGAGGAGGCTGTGCAGATTTATGGATTTTATTAAGCCAGTTTTCTGAATCACTCTGCTATAAAGGCAAATAGCTTCTGCAGCGCTGTCTCCCTCCTTCAGGTGAGGAACAAAGGATGGGTGGAGTTAGGAAGAGACCCTAGTCTGCAGGATCGTGTGCAGGTGCTTCTGGGTACCGCACCACATCATCCCATACGTTTCTGTCTTAGACAGGAATGAAGAAGCAGTCCACATGAGGCTGCGGTGAGCCCACATCTGTTACCCGTCCTAACAATAAATAACCAGGAAAACGGACGCCAGTCCACCCAAAGCAGACAGTTTCAAGCATGTGCTTTCTGATACAACTGGACCCAGTGTCTTCCAGAGGCTGCTGGCAGCAGCGAGACAGCAGCCTCCCTCCTCCCTGAATGTTGATGCTACATATTGCTGAGGGGGACATAATTTATAGCACAAACCCTACGGCTTCCTCTAAGGTTGAGTTTTCCTCTCATCTTGCCTTTTTATTGGCTTCACTGCACGGTTGCCAATAGCAACATCCATCGGTAGCAAAGGGAGTTCAACAGCATTGCAATCTGCCAGACAGTGGAGCCCTGACAATGTCAACCATCAATCAAATGGTTGCTTGTAATTGCCTCCATCTATTTCTCCTGTCTCAAGGTATCTGTCCTATTGTGGGTCAAGATTCAGAAACTGCTGACTAATGTCTGGGGTCTGCTCCTCCATGACTGTGGAGAACTGGGAGAGATGGTGGTAGCCAAACCCTAGAGGTCAAAGGTTGGGATTTTTAAAGCCCTTGTAAAACGATTTCTTTCCCATGACCGTGAGTTATGTGGGATCCTAGACTCTGTTTCCAACACACAGAATGAGGAAACGTATCAATCCTTATTCTTCACTGTTGTTTCCTGTTGGAAAAAGGCATTTGAAATGTGAGCCCTCTTCAAAGGAAAAAAAAAAAAACTCAGACAAGATTGTCTGCTTCCTCAGGTCTCTTGGCACGAACAGCTGAGGTGACTCCATCCTCCTTTTGTATGAGATGTATTTTTTCAGAAACTCTATTTATCCATGTTAGTGAGCGTGTAGCTACTGCGTGCACAGCCCACAGCACAGCTGGTGATAGCGGTGGGGTGAGTGCATCTTGGCAAACCACCAAGGGGACCCACCAGTCCACAGCGGACCGGGTTCCCTCCTCGCTGGCTGCCAATGGGCCTACTATCTGGGGACCCTGCGGCACTTCAGGTTTCTATCTGTTAAATAAAAGCACCAGCTTTTATTCAGTTTCTGCATCCAGGGACCAAGCTATGCTGTGCTTTGCTTTGGAAACTTCATCCAAGTCATTCTCTTCTTTCTGCTTCTCAAATAAAATAGAAGCAAACCCGAGAGAGTCATCGTCTCACCGAAGACAGGGTAAACATTTACACAGAGAGGGAGTGGACCCCAAAACAACCTTCCTACAAAGCGTCGGAGACAGCTTCTAATGAATGTGAACAATACAGTCTCCAACACCTGCTCGGAAGTGGGTATCCTCCTGTTTCATAAAGAACAGCCTGAGATTATCTCATATCACTGAATCCCATGTGGGAATCATTAGTTTAGAAGTGAACTTGTAAAGGGAGCCAAGAAAGGCAAATATTGTACATGAGTTTTCTGTGTCTTGAAACCCGAAGGCTTGCATGCTTCCAGGTACTCCAGGTTTGCAAATATCTTGCATTTAAGATTTCAGCACTGTTTTTTATTAGTGCAGTAACAACAGTATGTTTCTGAATTCAGTTGCTTTTTCTGTATATCAAAATTTAGCGTACCTCAATGGCTTACGTCGTTAGACTGACTTTACTCCGTTTCCTTTGCAGCACAATCTTTTTCCAACTCATTTCTCTTACTGACCCTTGTGGGTTACAAAAAGACCAAAACAAATTACAATCTAACCTCACAAGTGCAGCAGGAATCTAAGCATGTTTGGATGAAATTCAAACATAAAGAGAAATGTGTTTTGGTGGGGAAAATGACAAAAAGATTCATTAAAGCTACTCAGTGTAACCTAATTTGGGACCCTAAACACTTTGCCCCGCCTCCTTTAGTGAATTCCTAATGTTTCACAGTAACAATCTAGAATCGTTATTCTATGATGTGTGTCTAGAGTGCCTAAGCCCCAAATTACTAAGAATTTAAAGGTTAAGTCCGGCTGCTAGAAGGCCAAAGTGTCACACACTTCCTAAGTCAACTGTGGGTCACAAACCCACCAGAGATCAAATATCAGATAGCTCAGACAGCCTGACATCAGATGTTGACATTATGACTCTTACCAGTAGCAAAATTACAGTTACGAAGTAGCAACGAAAATAATTTTATGGCTGGGGGTCACCACAACATGAGGAGCTGTATTAGAGGGTCCCAGCGTTAGGAAGGTTGAGAACCCTTGTCCTAAGAGAACAGTAGTAGAACGTGACTGGCCCATCCTAAAAGATGTGACTGGAGACGTACTTGAAGGGCCTCGGATTTGGCGGCGCCCAGCACTGTGCTCACTGTCTGTGTTACCCTGTCTCCCCAGCGAATGAGTTTGGGTTGTATATACTTTGATTTTGAATGGCCTTGCATGTTTGTGCATCTCTCAGCATCACTAAAGGCCAATGGTCATCTGTGTATCCACCTGTACCCATGTAACTGAATGTAGGCACCGGTGCAAACCGTGTGTTTTATGAAGTAAATGAGCTACATGCTGTGGGAAAAAAAAAAAAAGTATCTTCTTTGAGGCCATCATCTGTGTTCATGTCTGTGCATATGTGTGTTAGCGCGCTCGTTTTTCTTCTGCTTTAATGTGGATTTAGATCACATCATATTCAGAGCACCTTTAAAGAATAGCGCAGTGTGGAGGCAGAAGTCTAGTTTGCTGAGTCCGTCCCCTTGAAGGGCTGTTGCTTTCGCTGTTTTATTCTGATTTGCAATAATCTAAAAAAGAGTTCCTTACTGACTTGTTTCCTAATTATTGTTGTTTTACCCAAAAGAAGGGAACTACGTTGTCGGCTGGCTTGTGTGAAGCCCCTCTCTCTCTGTGAAGTTTCCAGGTTAACACTGTATTGTAAGAACACTTGGTAAAATGCTGCTTGGCCATGGCAGAAGCAACTACCCACGGCTTCGAAACAGACTGCTTTAAGAAAACGGAAGCTTCTTGTTTTTAATAAAATGCTTAATGTTTAACTAACATTCTGGAGTAATCTTTATGTCGCCGGCTGGAAAAACGACGCATGCATCCTAATACCTACTACAATTTAGTTCATTACCTTTGGTCGGTGCTGTCTGCTTGTGCGAGACCTATACTGGGACCTTGTTTTTAAAATAAAAGACTTTTCAAATTATTGAAGGT